TAAGTGGAATCAGACCATGTGTGGTCTTTTGTGTCTGGCTTCTTTCATTTGGCATATTTCACGGTCACCCATGTTGCGGCAGGTGTCCCATCCGCCATACGTACCACGTTTGGTTCATCCATTCCCTGGACGCTGGCGGACTCGTGGGTTGGTTTTCTCCTTTCAGCTACCGTGAAGAGTGCTGCTATTCCTAAACAAGTTTTTGTGCAAGGTTCTGTTTTCTGTTCTTCGGGGTATCTACCTACCAGGGCAATTGCTAGGCCACGTGGTAACTCTCCGGCTAACATTTTGGGGAACTGCCACTGTTTCTCTCGGCCGCCCCGCCTTCCCATCAGCAGGGCATGAGAGCTCCAGCTTCTCGCCTCCCACCCCCACGCTGGTTATTGTCCGTCTCTTTGATAATAGCCATCCTTCTAGACAGGAAGGGCTCACTGTGGAAAATACACAGTACGTAGATTTTAAGCAGCAAAACCTTTTTAGCTAGAGCAGCAATCTGACTGCAGATCTCGCCTGTGTGGAACGGATGCAGGAGGGGGTCCCTGCAGGCGAAGAGGGGAAGGAGCCCTGAGCCCACCCTCCCATTCCCCCCCACAGCCCCAGAGGCAAATTCTCTGGATGGTTTGCAGCCCCCCGCAGGGCTTGGGGCCCCGAGGCTCGCCAAGGTCGGGAATCTGAGTCTAATCCCTGAAGGCCGCCTGTGGAGTGGCCGTCGCAGCCCTCAGCCAGGTCCCGCTGGCCTTGGGCAGCCCCCCGGGGGGCTGTCTGTCCTGCTCCCAGCTCCGGATCCAGCGCCGAGGGCACCTTGTGCAGGGCACAGGCAGCGAGCTGGAGAAGTGCCACCGCCACCCCCTTCCCAAGTTCAGGAAGAAAGGTCCTCCGTTTCTCTGAGGGTGCGGCCAACCGCGGGGGGGCCGGTGGAAGGTTTACTGAGCTCCTCAGCCGTGGAGAGCCCCCGGGGGCACTAATCCTCTGAGACGCGGAGCACGGCTCCTGGCACTGACCCAGGCGAGCCTTCCACCTCCTGCTTCTCCCGGCTTTGACATTCGAGGGGCACCGGGCGCGCTGCTGTTCTGCCTTCTCATGTTGCCTTGGCAGAGAGAGGACCACCCCCCCAAGTTCTGTTCTGTGGATCGCAAGGCTCTGCTTTCCACAGCTGTCAGAGGCTTGAGTCATGAGACACAGATTGTTCTGTTCCCTTGGATTTCAGGATAGCTTTCTTCTTTTACTGATGGCCGAGTTTTTGCAAAAAAAAATCATTTCTAGTACATACGGGGACTTTCACTTAGCTAGAATATTAGATTAACGCAAGTACCTGGTTTCTCCCCCATGACATGTTGATTGAGTAAAAGGCCACTGAGTCTTTGAAGAATGCAGCTTTCTCATGTTGCAGGGGGGAAGCTGAAACCCAGGAGCCCTAGGAACGGAAGAAGAGAGCATTCACTGGAAGTCCATCATTTCATTAACAGCCCAGATTCAGAGAAGGTTGGATCCAGAAGTGTCCTAGAGACCATTTAATCCAACTCCTGGCCTCCCAGTCGTGCCTGCTTAGACCATTGTGTCACTAACAGTTGTGTGTTGATTGTGTTTATTTTTATGAACTCCCCCGGAGGGTGGTGTTCCCTGAGATTCGACCCAAGGCATGGTATGCTGAGTGGTCACGACCGTGAGTGATGGGAGAAGTCCAGGGGAGAAGACACGCGGGGCAGAGCCTTGCAGAAGGCGCGTGACGTGTGCATGAGGACAGGGCAGGGAGCGGGCTGCAGGCTGGACCGACAGCCCGTGAGGAGCTGCAGGAATGACTGACGGGGCCTTTCTGGGGGGCCACTGAGAGCACGGGGGCAGGGGTATAGAGGAGCGGGCCTTGAATGCCAGAATCAAGCATTGTGCCCAATTTTTACGTAATCGGGGGCCCCTGTTGCATCTGGAGGTTTCATGGCTTCCTCTGTTTCTGCTGTCGCCCTGACCCGGGCTCTTCTCGTGTCTCACCTAGGAGGTCTCCATAACCTACCTGGTCTCCCTGCCTGTATTCTGCCAGCCACACTCCACAAAGGCCCCCTGCCCAGGGGCTTTCTGAACTGCAAGTCTGATCATGTCCCTCCCCCTTCCAAGGCCCTTCCTGGCTTCCTGTTGCCCACAGGACAACAGGACCCTGCCTTAGGTGGCGCTGCGTGGCCTGGCGCTGCTTCGTCCTGCAGCCTCACCCCCACCCTGCCTCTGATCTCACCAGGCGCCCTGGTTCCCTCGGCTGTCATGCCATTGAACTACTCACTGCCTTTGCCCAGCCTCCTCCTTCTTTCCCACTTGCTTTCTCCGACTGACGAACTCCTATTCATCCTTCAAGACCCAGTGTAAATTTCTTTTTGGACAAGCTTTCTCTGACCCCTGAGAGGTCACGTGTGATGCCTTGAATGTGTTCGTGTTTTGAAGCTCACGTCGTGTTGCAATGATCTACTTCCAAGATACTGGCGATTCCCGCTTTTGAGTGCGTGTTTTGTTGTGTGCTGGGCTGAGCCCCAGGCACGCATTATCCTGCCACAGTAGCCCACGAGGTGCATCTGTCACAGATGAGGAAGCTGAGATGCAGAGAAGTGGTGTGACGTGCCCAAGGCATGCACCTGGAGGGCGACAGAGCTGGGATTTGAGCCCAGATCTGTTTGACTCTATTTCTGCATCCTTCTGTCTCCTGTTCCCTGGATCCCGCTATATCCCCCGGACCCCCACGGTAGGCCTTCGGGAACCTGCAGCGTGTGTGAGGCACTGATCAAAGGGGGCGTGCAGCAGCGTTGTCATGGTGCGGGCAGGATGGGGAAGAGGAGGGAGGCTGGATGAAGGGGCTGGCTTTACTCTGGTGTTGAGGTGATAAGAGACTCTGAGCCCAGCTCCCCAAGGTACGCCTTCCCTTCCCTTCCAAGCAGCAGCCTCTGGCGGCCTGGGCACAGGGCTGTGGGATCCAGGGGAGCAGGCAGGAGGCCTGGCGACATATGCCATGGCAACCTGCCTCCTCTCTGGGGCCCGGAGCGGGAGGAAGGACTGGAGAGAGCACGCCCAGCTTTCTGAGTAGGATCCTGGAGAGGTGGCTCCCTTTGAGCCTGGGTGGCTTCTGCCCTCCCATGAGGGACCCCCGCCTGCAAGGTCCCATCCCAGCAGGGGAAATGCCACTTCCACCTCTGTCCCGGAGGAATGGCCAGCTCTGGCCTCCCAGGAGACCATTGGGTCCATCCAGGTTCAAACGCTGTCCCCCGTCCCCCAACCTGCACCCCCTGGGCCAGGGAGGAACGAAGAGGGAGCACAAGAGGAGGGAGGTATGGGGTCATCAAGCGAGGTAGGAGCAGGGACAACTGAGACAAAGCCCTCATTGTACCGAGGCCACACTCGGCTCCAAGGCAAACCGGGCATGTTGCCTGCCTCCCCGGACAGAGGCCTGGGACTCCACCTGGAGTTTCCGAGCTCCCTAGCAACCCTGGCCCAAGCTGCCTCTGAAGAGTGAGGCCGGCGCTCCGACCCGAGTCCTGCCTCTGCCAGGCTGTCCTCCTGCAGGCACCGGCCCCTCAGTGCATCCTCCCAAAAGCAAGAAGGGAAGCGGGGAGGCTGCCAGGGAAGCCAGGCTGCCTGGGACTAGAAGCCAGGGTCTGTCTGGCCCTGCAGCTCGGCCACCTCGGGCCCAAATGTGATAAATGTGATAACACATCGCCCTTCTGGGCCCCCCAAGCCATGCCAGGAGGCGCGGAGTCGTTGGTGGCCTTCCTGACAAGTGAGGGCAGCACTGTGGTCCCATGATTCCTCCTCCAGGGGCTGGCCTGACCGTGCCTGCGTGACCGGGGACGATGGGTGGGACATGTCCCCGAGCTGGGGTGAGCAGCTCAGGTCACAGGCCTGGTGTCGGCAGCTCCTGGGCCCGGCACCCGACACCTCCGGGCAGACAATGCCGGCTGTGTCCGGGCCCTCCAGGGGCACAGGCTCTGCTCGGTGTCACAGCCGGGAACCAGGCCACCTGAGCGGTGCCTTTGTCCCCTCAGGAGGCAGGCCCGCCACTGGGCAGGATGAGCAGGCTCCCCGGAGGCCCTGACGTGGGAAGGGGTGGTGCCCGGCCAGGGGACTCCGGAGTTTGAGGCCCGGCCCCTGGGCATCTGGTGTTGTCTGGTTCCCCTGTTGGCCCGGCCACACGCTGGGGTTGTGACTGGGGCGTGTGCCTCCCTCTCGGAGGCTCAGGTTCCTCATCTGTAGGGGGACTAATCACAGCACTTCCTCATAGGGTTTTTGGGAGGAGCCAATGGTGCACTGTACGTAATGGGCTTGGCCCGGGGTCTGTGCGCAGCGGGGCCCAGTGACCGCTTCTCTCCAGCATGGGGGAAGGTCGGGGCACGGTGTCCTTGGCCACGTCTCCAGTAACCCAGGCTTCTGTCCTTAGTCCCTGCTCTGAGCATGGAAGGAGGGAACAGGGGTCTCTGGGGCTGGCAGGACTCGTGGCTGCAAAGAGCCCAAGCCCCTCCGTCTCTGGGATGATGCCCAGGACAGGACTCCTTCCTACAACAGCCAACGCCCAGCCCAACAGGGGGCTTCTCCCCTCCTTAAACCCCTGTAGGGCTGCCCTTGGAGCCTAAGCCTCTACCCGCTTGTCAAGACTGCCAAGGATGGGTCTCTACAGGCCTGGTCACTTCCTACTCCTTCCAGCCCACCGACCCCCCCCTCCCCAGAGGAGGGCTTCTGTACCCATTTGCCCCCTTCCTCATCTGCTTTGAGCCTGTGCTCTGAGGTCCTGACGCGTGCTGAAGTCAGCATGCATGTTTGCATGGACAGGTGCAGGCATGCCTGTGTGCCACATGCATGCGGGAGGGCCCAGCCGCATGTCCTGCATTGTGGGCAGATCCTGAGCATGCTCCCTGAGACGGGTGCGGCCTGTCTTGGAATGGCAGGGACGTAGTACCTTTTCACATTCGTGTGTATCCATATGTCTTTCTACACATGTGCTGGTATGTTGGTCTGTCTTGTCTCCCCTATAGACAGGAAGCCCCAAGCCACACGCCAACGGGCGCTCTGGGAAGGTGACGTCGAGACTAGCCCAGCCTAATTTGGGGATCCTGGTCCTGCTCCACCGAGGAGGGAGGATTGCAGCCCCCACCGAGGAGGGAGGATTGTCCAGCGCAGGGTGGGGTCCGAGTCAGGGATCGGGGGGCCTGGCTTATAGCGTAGAGGACTTGGTGCTGCGCTGGGGGTCAGGAGGCCCTGCCCCGATGCCCGTGTGACCTTGGGCAAGGCCTTCGAGCTCTGTCTCCACGTTCAATCATCTGGAGAACCCGGGGTTGGATCTATGATTCCTGGCTGCCCCTGAAGCCCTGACGATCGAGATTTTAAGTCGGGGGGCAGGAGTGCGCTAACTTCGTTGGTGGAGACAGCTGTGGCTAGCGCCTGGCCTACGGGCCCTTGCTCGGTCCTGGGGTGTCCTGCTGAAGGGTAAGAGGAGGAGCCATGCCAGGCAGCGGCCCTAACGAGAGGATGACATGGCCTGGTCCGGGCCTCCCCGCGGCACCCCCAACGCGCCCTCTCTCCTCAGCCCCGGGGACACCACCCATCCCGCCCTTCACCCGGACCCGCAGCCTCATGGCCATGTCTCTGCCGGGCAGTAGACGGGCCTCTGCTGGATCCCGCAGGTGAGTGTCCCCTTGGCTTCGGAGGGTGGGAGGAGGGAGGGTCTCTGCCCCACCCCCCACTGCCACCAACTTACAGTGTATCCTTGAGCAAGTCATTTCCCCAGTTTTCCCAGCTTTAGAATGGGCTTGCTATCACTCACCTCCTCCAGGAACTACTGAAGGGCTCAAGGGACACAGTGGATATAAAGTTCTCCGAAGCAGTTTAATAAACCACTGGACCCGAACCATCCTCAGTATTGCTGTTGAGCTTCACAGTGACCAGGGGGGACTCGTGCCGTCCTCCACTCTGACTCACATGGCCCCCCACTTTGACCTGTGTGTGCCCCTCCTCTTGTCCTTACCCCTGCCTGCCCCCTCTGCCCCACCTGCACCAGCCCCTGCAGGGCCCTCCTCGGGGCTCGGGGGCCCCTGGAAGTGGAGGACCCCTGGCGAGGGCAGATGGGACCCCACCCTTGGCCCCGCCCAGCCTCCATTCCTGTCCTGGGGAGCCAGGAGGACCAGCCTGCTCCTGGTTTTCCATCTTGATTTGCGCTGTCTGTTCTGTCACCCCTGTCTGTGCGTCCCCCTCTCCCCGCTGCTTCTCTTCCCGGCCCGTGACCCCGCAGCGGGGGCCCTTTGGGCCGCAGCGGCCTGGCGGTGTTCGCCCAGTGTCCGCAGGTGCCTGCCAGCCCGAGCGAGCACCTGCCTCTTCTTCCTGCCTCCAGGCGCACCTCTCCCCCCGTGAGCGTGCGGGACGCCTACGGCACCTCCTCTCTCAGCAGCAGCAGCAACTCGGGCTCCTGCAAGGGCAGCGACAGCAGCCCCACGCCCAGGTAACCCCTCCCCGTGCCCGGCTGGCGATGCACCTGCACCCCGCGCCCCGGCTGCGCGGGTGGGGACCGGCCGACTCTGGCTGCGCGACCTCCAGCAGCTCATTCCCCCAGAGCCTCAGCTCCTGCCCGAGAGAGGGAAAGGTGACGCCCGGCTGCACACTCTGGGACTCCCTGTCGCAAAGACAGGGGCTTACATGAGCCAGGGGTGATGCTTTCAGAACCGGGGCCCAGCGGCAGGCAGCTCCCTGAAGTGTCGGGGACCCCCGTCCCGTCTTCCTGCTCTACCGTCCTTGGGGTACAGCTTTTGCCCTCGCCCTTACCAGAGGCTCCTACACCTCCAGGCATCAGGTCAGCCTCGGGGCCAGGAAGGAAGAAGGTAGAAAGGCCACCCCCCCCCGCCCCCGACAAGAAACTCATGTTTTCTGAGAAGGGACACTTGCCCAGGAATTCCGTCTACGCCTTGCCGGCTGGCACTGAGACATAGGATTGGGTGACAGCTGCCGGCCAGCTGGTGTGGGGAGCGCCAGCGTTGTCCCTGGTACCCTGCCACCGTGCACAGAATTGGGGTTCTCTTGGGGGAAAAGGCAGGAACGGAGAGCAGCAGGCTCCTAGGGCGTCTGCCGTCCTGCTCTCCTCGGGGGGTCCACCTGCGCCCTGGCAGAGCTGCGGCAGGTTTGGGAGGCGGAGTGTGTTACAGTGCAGCACATGCTATGTTGTGCACTCCAGAGAGGGGAATGGAACTGGAAAAGCAGGCTGCGGAGGCAGGTGAAGGGAAGCTGAGCGCTCCATCCTGATCCCCCGGAGGAGCCCGGAGCTCGGGGAGCGCGGGCTGGGCATTCATTCTTCCAGTCCCTGAGTCTTTCCCTTATCCGTCAAGTAGGGCTAACATCCCGCAGGCTTCGGTGAGTTGATGTCTTGGCTGGTCTTGCCCTTCCAGCGGAGAGGGTGTCGTTGGTGTGAAGTGATGTTCAGATCACACTGAGGGAGCCGTTCTCAGAGTTTTCCACCTCGACACACATGATGGGTGACACACACACGCAGGACCCACGCCCCAGCCTCCTGGCCGGGACCCCACCCCGAGTGCAGGGGGCGTGAGCGGGATGATGTGCTCACATTTTGCAAAGTATACGATTGGCAACTTGAACACCTTCTCATTAGTAGCAGATTTTTGCAGTGCACGTCATAACTGCAGCGCAAGGGACTGTCCCAGCCCTGAGGTTGAGCACTGCCCCCGTGGGAGGGTCTTCTTGCCCATGTGGATGGTAGCCATTATGGGCGAGCAGCGGGGCCTCGGCTGTGGCCTCAGTGCAAACAGGTGTTCCGAGGCGGGAACAGCGGAGACCCACGGATTATAGTATGTTCTTCTTCTCGGTTATTCATATATTTTTTTCCGCAAAGATAGAGCTAATGAATAAAAATGTATGAGTGTGAAATGCTATATTAGAAAAAATCCACTCATGAAAGCAAATGGGAAGAGTGAGAACAGTGTCTTCTCTGATTCTCCACTGTACTAGTTTAACTGGTTTGCCCAGGGCCCGGGGAGGAACCCCTTCTCACTCACCGCAGCTCCGCGCCCCTCTAGCGCGAGTCCTGGCACGGCGGCCCACAGACGGGGCGTCCCCAGCTCCGACCCGCGCCACCCCTCTGCCCCTTGTCACGCGGAAAACAGGCTGGCGTGTGATAGGCCTTGAGTTAAACCTAGGGACCACGGGGTGAGTCAGTAGAAGAGAATCCGCCCCTTTCTCTCCACCTCTAGCCCCACGCTCTCTGCAGCGGCTGACGGTTTACGAAAACTTTTCCCTCCAACATTAGGCAGCTCCCGCGGAACCTTTCAAACTGCCTCCTCGGCGGCTGCTTCGGCAAACCCGGCCTGTCTGCAGACCTGTGGGTGTCATCGCCCCTCCCTAAGCCCCGGGGGTCCGCGTGCCCTGAAGGGGCAGCGTTGGGTGGCCACAGGGCCTCTGGTGGGCTGTGTGAGAGCCCGTCCCCTGTTCGGCCGAGACCCGGGCAGCCTTTCTGGCACACGCGGCCGCAGGAAGCCTGGGCCGTAGCATGCTGGAACCGGGTGCTGTCCTTCTGGGGGCGAGGCCGCCCTCCGCCCTCCTCCACTGGGCCGGGGTGCCTCCACCGTGCAGTGCTGAGACCCGGGTGTGCTCGCCACACACACACGCACGCACACACACATGCACGCACACACGCATGCATGCACACGCACGCACACGCATGTGCACACATGCACACACGCGCACGTGTCTGTGCCCCCCCAGGCTGGGCAGCAGGTGGAGCCGGCTTGCTGCCACCTGAGGGCACAGCTGTGGATGAGGGGATGCCCAGAGCCGGTGGGTGTTCACACTTGTGTGTGTGCGTGCCCTCGAGCACGGGCGTGTGCCTGCATTTGCGTGAACCCGTGTGTGGGCTGCTGTGCTGGTCCTTGTGAGTGTCCCTGAGGGTGGCCGCAGGGCGGTGGGGAGGCACGGGCACGGGCGTGTACACACGGAGGTGGGCGTGCAGGCACACGTGGACCAGGCGTGTGCGTGGCCGGGCGAGCGCGCTTGTACGTGAGGACAGCGAGGAGGGCACCAGAGTGCGTTTGCAGACAGCGGAGCCTGCACGCGCGTCTGCGCTCCCGGTCCCCCCCAGGGTCCGGCAGGCCAGGCCGTAAGGCTCTCAGCTCTGAGGGTGCGTCCTCCTACACAGGGCGGGGTCCTTCCCCCCCCCCCCCGCCGCAGGCCCTGGGAGAATTACACAGGGAAGGCGCACCCGCCCCCCCAGCCTCTGGCCCCCCCCTCGTTCTCTGGGTTCGGAGACCGGACACCGGAGTTCTGGGATCCCCCCCGGGACTGAGATGGCAGCATCAGTGGGACGCCCTGCGTGGTGCCGGGCCGTGCGCTGGCTCTGTCATGCGTCCCCACCCGTAACTAGGGGAGCCCCAGGCTCCCCACTGTGGTCTTCACTCAGAAGAGCTTTAATAAATCCTGCCTTCCAGAAGGCCCGGGTGCTCTCAGGCCCACACGGGCTGCCGCGGAGGCCTAGCCCGGAGCCATCTGGTGGCCGTGGGACCAGGACGGTGAGGGACGGCTTCCCCGCTGACACGTGTCCCCTTGCAGGCGCTCCATGAAGTACACGCTCTGCAGCGACAACCACGGCGTCAAGCCCCCCACCCCGGAGCAGTACCTGACCCCCCTGCAGCAGAAGGAGGTGTGCATCCGGCACCTGAAGGCCCGGCTGAAGGACACCCAGGACCGGCTGCAGGACCGGTGAGCTGCCAGCCAGGGGCAGCCCTGGGGACACGCCGCCTTCTCCACACTCAGAGGCCCCAGGGCCCTGGGCACTTCTGGGAGGAAGGAGTGGCTGAGGGCTTCCCGGCACCCAGCCTGCCCTTTCCCTTCCGGCAAAGGCCCGTAGGACCCCCTTTCTAGAGCCCCAAGCCATCCCCCGCCTCCCCTCCGCTGCTCTCCCGGCCGGCCCGCTGGTCCTCCCCACACCCATGGCAGTGCTCTCTCAGTTTGAGCCTGGTGGCCCCTTTGGGCCACTTCTTGTCCCCTGGCTCCTTTCCAGCTGGAGAGCAGGAGCCCAGGGCATTCTCCTTGGCTTACCTTCCCTGCGGGGGGAGAAACAACCCCCCGGCCCCTTTGCTTCCGCCCAGGGAGTCACCAGGGGGCTCTTGGCCCACGGGTTCAGGCCCCAGAGGCCTTTCTGCTCATGTACTTACAGACGATGGGACATCATGAGAAACCTTTCTCGAGCTCCTACTCAGCCCCGGGGTCCCCCGGGAGCCCCCGCGATCCCCTCTGAGCTCACTCTCCGGACCTGAGGGCCAATCCTGACCCTCTCGGCTGCTACCTTTCTGGGCCACCGGCTTCATCTTTATGACCGCAGCTTCAGCACTGCCCCCAACTCTTCGCCATCTCCTCTGGACAGTGTCCGAACAGGCAGCCGACTCTGAGTTGCCCTGGGCACTGGGGGCCGGGGCAGGCCGACACGATCATGGCTTCTTTCCTCTTTGCTCTTTTTGTAAAACTATGCAGCGTGATGCACACGTCACTCACAGCCCGTAGAGTTCCCCTCTCTCAAGTGTACCACTCAGCGATGTTTCGTGTAGGCACCGAATCATGCAACCCTCACTGGTATCTGGTCCCAGAACATTCTCATCACCCCAGAAAGGAAAGCCATTCCCGGTAGTAGTCGTGGCCCAGGCCCCTGGTAACCACTCGTCTTTCTGTCTTTATGGATTCGTCTGTTCTGGACACCGCATATAAACGGAAGCCTGTAATACGCGTGAGCGTGGCTTCCATGGCCAGAGCTTTGCCAAGCAGCCGATGCGGTTTGGCTCTGCTGTGGTTCTGAACTACGGGAAGTTACAGGTGGCATTCTGTGGCCTCCTTCTCTGTTGAGTTGGCATTTCTATGTTTATTTCCCGTCATCTTCTAGGTGATGCCCTGGGTCTGCCTGGCCACTTGCACTCACGGGCTCAGGAAGCAGACAGCCCGTCTCCCGGCTTCCCTTCTGGGGCTGGCCCAGCGGCTCGGGCAGACCATCTGCCCTGCGTAGTTTGGGCACGCCGCCCTGGCATGGACGGGCCCCACCTTAAATCCCCGGCCGCTCTCTGCCTGCTAGTCCTGCAGGGACCCATGGCAGCTCTTTGCCGCACGTGCTTCGCGTGTTCACTTTGATACCCGTCTCCTGCGGTAACCTACCTTCTCCATAAAGAAGCTTCTACCCCCTGTGCTTTTGTTTGCTGTGCCCCACTTCCTGAGATGGCCTTGCCCCCATGCTGCTCCCTGGGCAAACTCATCCTTCAAGGCTCAGTTCAACTGTAATGTCCTAGACAGGGTGGGGAAGCCAGAGCTGCCTGGCCTGGGGTCCCACCCGCTCCAAGGAGAGAGGGCCAGGGCCCAGCCCCACGGAGCATGCCCAATCCCTTCCTCCAAGCAGCTCCTCCCTCCCGGCACTCGGCGTCAGTGTGGCAGGTTTCCCTAGAAGGAACGCCAGTAAGGGCCCCGTGCCCAGTGGCCCGTCTGTCATGGCCACTCTGAGCCGCTCTGGTTCCCCGCTGCCATCACGGCGCTGTGTCCTGGTAGGCGGGCCAGTCCGCCCCTTCCCAGGTAATGCCATTGCTGACCTTGCCGGCCACCGCAGCCTCTCAGCCCGGACCCCTCGACGTTCCGCAGAGCACACTTCCTGGCCTCATTTCCTGAACTGACCCTCCCATCTGACTCCGCAGAGCGCACGGTGCTTGATCGGGGATGGTCCCTCTGCTGGGCTTCTCACCCTCAAAGTGACAGTCAGCCCTGTGTGCATTGCGTTTCCGTGAATGGGGGGCACGTGGGCCGCATGGCTGGGGTGGGTGCCGGGGTGGGTGTGCCCCGCCCCCCCTCTCCCCGCAAGACCTGCTGGCTCGGGAGTGGCTTTCCTTCACCCTCACGGCCTTCACCGCATCCTGCCCCGTCTCACGCTGCCTTTTCCGCCAGACTTGATAGGATGTTCTTCTAACTCGCCTCCCTCCGCTGCACCCCAGATTCGTCTGTGACTCGGGGTGCCCGTGTCTGCTTTGCTTGACGCTGGCCTCTTCTCTCGGAAATGGCCTGTGCCTTCTTGTCCATCTTTTGGGCCCATCCCCTTCACAGTAGATACAAAGCAGAGATGACCAGTGTGGATAAAAGAGAGCCACCTGTGGTCACCGTTTTCCTCTGCCGCACCCACCACGTTTCATCCCCCGCACCGAGGGGAGGCGTGAGGCCGGCAGCCCCCCCACCCGCCACATGGTGGCAGTAAGTTCCACAGCAAAGCAGAGCAGCCCACTGCCTCCCCCCTCCGGGGGCTCCGGCGGGGGACCCCCGAGGACAGTCTGCACCACCGGCTTTCGTAGGGGCAGAGATTTTACGTTTAGTTCTTATTGTCTTAGGTTAAGATTTTAAAATAGATGTGTTTGGTTTTTATAGCAGTAGGCATTTATTTATACACTGAGCGTCTTTCTTGTCTAATGTCTCCTGTAGGTGATGGATTTAAGTGGGGACGGTCGTCTGCATTTCAGCCTCCCGGGCTGAGGATGCAGAGGGGCCTAGACATTTCTTCTCCCCCTACCCTGACCCCGGGGGATGGGGGGAGGAGGCCCCTTGGCCACCCCCTCACCCCTCTGGAGTGAGAAGGATGCACTGAGTCAGGGCTTTTGTGTCTGGCTCTGGGCCAGGAGGCACACAGGTCCTCTGTCCTGGGTGACAGCCCTTCCCTGCTTGTCCTTGGTGGTGGTGACAGGCCAGGCAGCGAGCATGTGTGTCTCCTCTGCTCCCAGGGACACCGAGATCGATGACCTGAAGACGCAGCTGTCGCGCATGCAGGAGGACTGGATCGAGGAGGAGTGCCACCGCGTGGAGGCCCAGCTGGCCCTGAAGGAGGCTCGCAAGGAGATCAAGCAGCTCAAGCAGGTCATCGACACAGTCAAGAACAACCTGATTGATAAGGACAAGGGGCTGCAGAAGTACTTCGTGGACATCAACATCCAGAACAAGAAGCTGGAGACGCTGCTACACAGCATGGAAGTGGCCCAGAACGGCATGGCCAAGGAGGATGGTGCCGGGGAGTCGGCCGGCGGGTCCCCTGCCCGCTCCCTCACCCGCAGCTCCACCTACACCAAGCTGAGTGACCCCGCCGTCTGCGGCGACCGCCCCCCCAGCGACCACCTGGGGGCCTCTGCTGAGGACGGGGCTGACAGTGGCTTCGCGGGGCTGACCGAGGACACGCTGAGCCGGACGGACGCGCTGGAGGCCAGCAGCCTGCTGTCGTCGGGGGTGGACTGCGGCCCGGAGGAGGGCTCGCTGCACAGCAGCTTCGGCCTGGGTCCCCGCTTCCCCGCCAGCAACACCTACGAGAAGCTGCTGTGCGGCCTGGAGGCCGGGGTGCAGGCCAGCTGCATGCAGGAGCGCGCCATCCAGACGGACTTCGCGCACTACCAGCCGGACCTGGACGCCATCCTGGAGAAAGTGACCCAGGCCCAGGTCTGCGGGGCAGTCCCTGAATTGGGGGTCGGGGGCCCAGAGCTGGAGCCCCACCCCCTGGGGCCCAAAGACCCCAACTCCGCCGTGGTGGTGACGGTGGGTGACGAGCTGGAGGCCCCAGAGCCCATCACCCGAGGGCCGAGCGCGCACCGGCCGGGGGCCAGCCCCGGCCCCGGCCCCGGCCCGTCGGTGAGCGTGGCGTGCCCGGTGGAAGAGGAGGCGGCGGCGGCCGCCGAGAAGGAGCCCAAGAGCTACTGGAGCCGCCACTACATCGTGGATCTGCTGGCCGTGGTGGTGCCGGCCGTGCCCACGGTGGCCTGGCTCTGCCGCTCGCAGCGGCGCCAGGGCCAGCCGGTTTACAACATCAGCTCGCTGCTGCGGGGCTGCTGCACTGTGGCCCTGCACTCCATCCGCAGGGTCAGCTGCCGCTCGCTGAGCCCGCACGGCCCGGGCGCCCCGGCCCGCAGCTCCCAGCTGTGAGCGCCGCCTGACCACGGACGGTGGGGCTGCCGCTCTCCCTCCCGCTCGTGCCCCGGGGGCCTCGTCTTACTTCCGTTTGGGGTTTGGGAGTGGCTCGTTCGGGACGTGAACAGTGTCGGGGGGCTGGCAGTCGGGGTTGGGGGAAGGCACCCTCAAACTGTGACAGAGGACAAGGGAAGAGAGACCAAAGGCAGGGAGGCACGCCGAAGGGACGCACTGCAGAGAGGGGAGGTGGGCAGGTGCCCCCACCCGGCCCTGTCCACCTGGACCTCCGCACGGGGCTGCCCGCCCACCCCCTCCTCCCTCCCCGAAGTGTCCGGTGTGTCGATGTGGGGAGGCGGGGCCTGAGGTGCCCACGGGAGCCCCCCGCCCCCACCCCCGTGTCCCGCGCCCACGCCCCTCCAGCCGCCCCTGCCCTCAGTCCAGCCTTCTGGGCCAGTATTAGCTCCTCGCCCAGAGCACAGGCCACCGGCCCAGGACTCGGAGCGGGGTCTGCAACCCCCGGGCTCCGGCTGCAGTTCCAGCGTCTTCCGGCCGCTCCCCGCTCTGGGATTCGGAAGCCTCGTCCGGCCATAGGCACGGGCCGGAGGAAAGACGGGGCGATGTTGGGCACGAGGCGGCAGAGCGCAGCGTGGCTCTTGTGTCTGTTCGTCCTGGACCTTCCTCAGGCTCCGCTTCCCTGTCGCCGCGTCTGGCTGTGTCAGATCGTTCTTCCCGTGAGAGCTGAGCCGGACAGGCTGGTGCTGGGGCTGGAGCGTCTGCGGGCCCCAGAGGAGGAGGCAGGGGGCTGGCAGCCCAGGGGGCCTCCTCCAGCCCTTCTGAGACAAGGTCCTGCAGTCCGGGAGGCGGGGCTGGACTCGGCAATCCTCAGCTGCTTTGAGAAGCCCGACGACTGCCCCTGGAGCTCACCCCAAGTTTCTCTGGGGGGCCTCGGGCCCAACTTCTGCTTTGCACTATGTTCACTTTGGGGCTTGGCTCTCATGCACCCCAGCATCTCCACTGAGGGGCTGCTTGCATTCTAGGGTGAGGGCTCCTAGACTTAGACCTGCCTGCCTCTGGAGGGACTCCCAGCAGGACGGATGGCACGATGGGATGCTGAAGCCATGATGTTCGTCCCGGCCAAAGCAGGGTGCCCCGGGTTGTCTCTCAGGCAGGGACGGGGCAGGGCAGGTGGGAGCCCTGCGGCCTCCCTGCTCACAGCCTGAGGCCATGTGGCCTGGGAGCTTCACTGTCCCCCCTCCTTCCCTGGGACCCCATGTGGTCCCCCAGCAAAGCTGCTGACATTTTACCACCACTATTATTTGACAGAGTAAATGCATTCCTTCTCCCTTGTGGGGCTTACACCCATCTGGTGGCCCCTCCCACTCTTCAGAGGTCAGGCCCCACATCTGGGGTGGGTTGGTGGGACCCCGGGTCTCACTTATCCCTCTGGCCCCGGGGCCACTCTGGTTCTCTGCCCAGGTTGCTCGCCCACCCCCGCTGCTCCGACAGCCGCTGCCTGACTTAGGGGGCCCGCCTTTCCTCTCTGCGCCCTCCACTCAAGGCGGGGGGGCACCTGCATGCACTGGGAGTGGGCAGCCAGCTCAGCCATGGGGGCGACAGCCCCCTCTGCCACACGCTTTGTGCGTCCAAGGCTCCCCCCACCGGTTGGGGCCTCAGACAGACCAGCCATCCTTAGTGGAGCTCCCCCACCCCAGCCAAACCAGACCCGAACTCCTGGGGCCTGGCTGGGGCTGCCCCACAGACGCTGGGGTCGGGACACGGGGGGGCGGTGGACAAACCCAATCCAAAGCCAGCCGGGCCTGGCCGTGGACCCAGCCTCCTGTGCCGTGTACTCGCGAAGCTGCCTAGTGTCTCCTTAGAAGTAGCCCAAGCTTTGCCGAGAAAATAAATGTATGACTCCATTTGACAACATGAAATCTATGTATTTTTCACACTGGAATTCAGTCGAGCCGCGCAGCCCCTCTGCTCCTGCCTGTGTCTTGCTATCTGTGGCCTTCCCGTCGTGTCTTGTGTTTCGGTGGACGTGGTCGGCGCCGCAGCCGCTCCGTCCCGCCGGAGGACGCCCCGCTGAAGGGCCGCGCCTGAGGTGAGTGGGGCCGCCGCTCTGGGTTGCGGGGCCCTCGCCCACAGCGTCGAGGGTCTTCTCTCGGAGCCTGCAACGGGCTTGTCCTCCTCGGGTCAGTGGAGGCGGTGGCTCTGCGCCAGGTCCCGGGACGGACCCTGCGAGCACGCGGGCCGGTGGCCCGGGCCCTGGTGCGCACGCGCGCGCGTGCTCAGTAGCCGCATCTCTGCAAGGGGGGCAGCGCCGCGCGCGCAGCTCCGAGCACCGGGCACCGCGGCCTGCTGGCTCCCGGCCCTGGCGCCGCGGGCCACGGAGTGTGGGGCAGGAGGGCAAGGCCAGGGCCGGGGGCCGCCCGCGCAGTGCTCTTCCTCCAAAGCTCCCCCTTTACTTTCTTGCTTAATACCTCCTCCTGCTGGGCCATGGGCTTGCCCTCCTGCCCTCGGCTCCTGGCGCAGAAATCCTCGGGGGACCTCCCCTGCCCCCTGGCCTCCGGCTGGCGCTGATTCAATCCTAAAGGACATTTCCCCAGGAACCACCTACTGAACCGCTGGTCCCTTGGAGCCCAGCGGCCAGAAGTGGCTTCTGCTTAGTTGGAGGGCCTGGGTCTGGGCCTCTCTGCTGCTCCTGCTCCGGGCTCAGGCAGGAATCAGAGCCGGGGCTGCGACTCTGCACCGAGAGCTGGCCTCCAGCGGAGTTTATTCTGCGCATCTCCCAAGGGGATAGCTTAGCTTTTCACTGAACAGCCTTCCCAGGCATCGCTAGCACCAGGCTGTCAGACAGTGAGCGCTTGGGGAGGGGCAGGCATCCACGAAGTTCTGGGACAAGGGTCTACCGAGGGCCTGAGCCCAGGGAACTCAGGACCTCCTTCTCTGACCTAGGGGGCCAGTACCAAGAAGTCACAGCATACTCTCTCATTGGGCCATCCCCTCGACGGAGAATTCAGGGGATACAGGAAGATGGAAGGTGGGGAGGGTCTTCATTTTGTCTCCTTTGTCCTGTTCAGACAGAGTTGTACCCACAGCAGACAGCTCTGAATTAAAGCATGAAAACACAGCAAGACCCTGGGCCTGTTTTCTTTATATCGTGTTTCCCCTCCACCCGGAGGAGCGAGGCAGGGGGCTCAAACCATCCCTGCCAAGCTGGGAGGCACAGTGAACACAGGGAAGGGCTGAGGGGAAAGAGATCCTTTCTGAGGTTGCAGGAACCAGAGAGCCGCATGCTGGCTCAGCACTGCCATGCGCCTGTCCCAGCAGCTGAGGGTCACCCCCCCCCTGGGTCACACAAAGGATCTAGGATCTAGAAGATCCCCCCTGCGGGTTAGCCCTGCTGGGGCCTGTAAGCGCACCTCATCCCCTCCAGCACCCCTGACGTGGACCCCCTATCTGCTCTGCAGATGCAGAAGCAGGTTAAGCAGGGGTGCTGCAAAGCCAGTGTCCCTCCTCCAGAGTCCCTCACGGCTCCCCCTCTCCAGTCCCTGCGCCTCCAGTCACCCCTGCAGGCAGCACGTGATGGTGGCTGAGCCAAATCTCTGCTCTCAGAGACCATGTGTCACCACTGCTTAGAAGAAAACCAGGCCTGGCATGTCATGGGACCAAGGTTTCTGGAATTTTCAATTACTTTTGAAGAAGGGCTTGTATTTAAAAGCAAATCTTTATTCAAAAGAAGTGAAGGATTTAACTACGTACAGTTTGTGACACACAGCAAGCAAGGGGAAAAGAAATTCTCACAAAGAACGAGATCGTGTTCTCTCAAAACGTCAAACTGTTTTTCTGGTAGAGGCAGCAAAAGTCTTGCAAGGGACCCAGCTGCAACTTTAAGAAATGTTTGGCCGGCTTGACTACGTGCCCCGCATTTCAACCCATTTCAACCGCACAGAGAGTCACTGCCTGTGGGCCCCAGTGCAGCTCCGAGTCGGAGGCTCCGAGGAGGTCTGCGTGCGCCCCCGCAGGACAGCCCCGCCCCAGGCAGCCGGCCTCCCCCCACACCTGTCTCGGACGACTCTGCCCTTTCCTGCAGGACGGTGGGAGGGTGGGCCGGCTGAACGGCCCTTCCCTGGCTTCAGACATCTGGGATCGAGTGGTCCATGGCGTGGTGGAGCAAGGTCGGGGACAACCTAGATACAGCAACAAGGACAGTCGCCAAAACTGGCAGCAGGTTCTCCTCCCCACTAGCCAGCAAATCCCCAGGGGGCCTTCATTTCCACTTCTAAGGCTTTCAGGGCTCCCACTGGGAGCCACCAGCCACCTGCCCCTGGGAAGGGAGGGCAGAAGAGGGAGGAGGCCGGTGTGGTGGGAGGCGGGGAGGTGAGGGGGAAGGCAGGAGGGGGGCAGCCTTACTTTTTGACCATGTGCTCGTAGATCACGGTGGGGATGATGGTCAAGGTGACAACGTTCCTGGCCATGGCCAGAATCTCTGTGACTTCTTTGTCCTGGAGAGGAGGTGAGTGAGCGGTCACCCTGGGGCCAGGGGCGACTCCGAGGCACCTCTGCGGGGGGGGGCAGTCAGCACGGCCCCCCACTAGAGGACCCTGCTGCCATCAGGTGGGGGGTCTCAGGCAGAAACCCAGGAGCAGCCGTGCTTGAGCAAGAGCATAAGTCCCCTGACCTGAGAATCTCTGCAGGAAAAGCGGGCACGCCCCTCCCCGCCCTCCCCCTGAAGGCCTGTCTGTGGGAGTCAGTCACCCTCAGGCTCTAGCCCCAAAGCACAGGGAAAATTACCATGCAGTGGGGGCCATCAGGTGCAGCCACGCACCCACTGGGCTCCTGTTGGCCGCCAGCCCAGCAGAGCCCTCATGGGCCCTCTTCATCTTACACCTTGCTGCCCAGTAAAGAGAGGAAGGTCTGCGAACGCCATTCAGACCAGGGGGAGAACAAGAAAGGACAAGGCTTTACGCAAACTGGGCCAAATAGACCAAACTCTGAGGCATGGCCACACAAGAGCTTCCAGCCCTTACTCAGAGACTAGGGACTGTCCGCATATATCTAACCTGCTTATGCACTCAGTTATTGTGGGACAAGCGGCAAAGACAAGCTGGATGGGCCTAGTGACAGCCACAGGGTGGAAATGGATCCGCTTTCAGGAGACAACGCATCTCACAAAGCACAGCTATGTGGGGCCATTCAGGAAAGGGAGAGCCCCTGTCCTCAGAGGCTCGAAGCACCACGGTTTGCCAGGATAACGGACAAGTTCATCACGATGCCCCGAGCCTTCGGGGAGGAAGAGAGACTCTGCAGCACATTGTAGCACGACTGCTCTCTGGAAGAGTTAAGATCAAAGAACTGGAATGCTTTGAAAGGAGTGGATTTGCTAGATCCAGAGAGAGACAGCGACTCAGAATCCGTACTGGCGGAGTCAACTGTTTAGGGATAAAGGGCTCCCTTTGGATGGTCATGCCTGAGCCCTGGGTGGGGGGAGAAATCCAGGGGTAGGGATCTTAGACACCCGCCCGGAAGAACTTCCTGATCACAATGCTCATGAGCCCCCAGAGCCAGCCTCCAACGAAGGTGGGGAGACTGCCAAGCATGGGAAGCAGCTATGGGGCAGGAATGGCTTGGTGATGGCCCTCAATAGGGGTGGAGAAGTGGCTTCAAAGCCTGTGCCAGCTGCGGAACGAGATGCCACTGCCCAGGCCTTGTCGGTCAGGGGAGCCCTGCTCTCGGTCCTGGCGGCAGCGAGTCAGGATCAAACCACTTTCACCTGTTCAGGGACCAAAGGCCACATGACTCATCATCCCTGGTCCCTGAAGGCGCCCACCCCTCGGTCAGGGTCCACTAGACCCTGGACCCCTTGTTCTTTCTTGCTTTAAAAAATAAAACTCGGGCGCCTGGGTGGCTCAGTTGGTTAAGCGACTGCCTTCGGCTCAGGTCATGATCCTGGAGTCCCGGGATCGAGTCCCACATCGGGCTCCCTGCTCGGCGGGGAGTCTGCTTCTCCCTCTGACCCTCCCCCCTCTCATGCTCTCTGTCTCTATCTCATTCTCTCTCTCAAATAAATAAATAAAATCTTTAAAAAATAAAAAATAAATAAATAAATAAATAATAAATAAAACTCACCACACACACCCCCCCTCAAAAGATGAACAGAGGTCAGAAGTATGTTTCTGAGCAGCAATGTTCTCAAATATTCCACTACGGACTGTGAGCCCATATGCAGACAGAAGCACCGCGCCGAGGATGGAGGCGTCCATGCAGTCAGCTGCCCCTCCCCCGGCGCCCTGTCCTGCCGCCTGCCCTCACCCCCTCCTCACCTCTCCTCTGGCCTCCACACGTTGGTGACAGTAGCTCATATTTACTGAGCACTTACCACAGGCTTGGCACTGTGCTCAGAGCTCTACCTGCCTCATCTTAGTGAGCCCCCACAGCAACTGGAGGATGAGGGACCTGAGGCTCGGATGGGGACAGCAGCTCGCCTGCAGACATGAACCTTCCATCCACCCAGCAAGCTCTCAGCCACTGCAGCCCCCAGGCCAGGGCACAACCGCTGGCCTACCTTCAGCCCGATGACGTTCTGCCCGTTCACCTCGCACACGGTGTGGTTGGTGAGGAGCCCGTTGTGGGCCGCAGCACTCCCTTGGACCACAGAGATGACCTTCCCCTTCTTGATGACAAAGCCGATGTGGCCCATGCTGTCCTTGTGCATGGTGATGGTCCGCTGGAAGGGCCTGGCGGGGAGAGACAGTGAGCTGGGCCTGGGACGTGGCTGGGGTCAGACAGGGAGGCTCTGGGGGCCCGGCTACCCACCTGTCCCGAGCGACCATGACGATCTTCTCGGCCGATGCCCTCTTCAGCACCCGGTGGGCTCTGTCCGTGCTCCACCCGGCACAGTCACGCCCGTCGATCTGCAGGATCTGATCCCCGAAGTGCAGCCCCACGAGAGACGCAGGGCTGTTGGCCTTCACCAGCTGCACGAAGAGCCCCTAGAGGAGGACCCACCGTCAGCTCCGCAGCCCACTCTGAGCCCAGGTCCCTCCTGTGGCTGTGCTCCTGATCATCTAGGAGCTACAGCTCTGTGTGGGCAGGACAGCGGTTACCCCATTTCCCTGGGGAGGAAACACTCCAGGCCACATAGCCAGGGAGCAGCTGAGTCAGGCTTTCAACCCTGGCTGGAGGCTGCACCCCCAGCCCCCGGACTGCCTGGCTTCTTACAATGGCATTGGTGCCCCTGGCTTCCACTGTCTACAGACAGCTGCCTGGAAGCCAGATCCCTCTGATGGAGGGCAGGGGGGAAGGGAGGCTCTGAGTAGTTGGAGCCCAGGAAGGGTAGGTGGATGGTCCCTATTGCTGGAACCCAGCACCAGCCCTGAGGCCCTGGGGGAGGGAGATTGAGAGGAAGAGCCTGGGCTTGAGATTGGGTAGGCCTCGGCTCAGCTGCCTGCTCTGCACCTTCCTTACTGTGGACAGGGCCCACACTGCCCCCTCCCAGGCTGGTGGGAGATGTGTGTGGGAAATGCCCCCTACTCTCCTGCCCAGCCCCCAGCCCTACCTGGTCAATGGCCTTTAGCCGCAGCCCAGTCTTGCCATGCTCATCCTTGCACAGGTGGATCTCACGCACCCCGGGCTTGATCTCCGCACGCCGTGTGCCAAGGCTGTTCCCAGACAGTGGTGCCACCAGCTGGCCCAGCGAGGAGCCAGAGCCCACCGTCTGCAGACAGACACCAGGGTGGGGTCAGCTGGCCCCTGGGGCCTCGTAAGGATGAGGAAAGAAGGACGCAGTGGTCCCTGGGCCCTATCCCATCCGCAGACCATACTCTTCTCTGCAGGGGCTGCTAGGGGACATGGCTCCATGAAGCCACTGGGGGGCATCAAAGCCTACGCCTCTGAAAAACAGCTAGGAATATGAGGAGAGACAAGAGAGTATGGGTATACAGAAAAGGGATTTTGCAAGGCACGTTGGTATCAGGAGAAGACCCCTTTGAAATCCAACTAAAAATAAAATTTTGCAGCAAATAGGGAGCAATTGGGGGGAAAAGGACTTGATTTAATTTTTGTCTTGAAAAGAATATAAGCAAAAAGTATAAAAATGAATGCTTTCCCCCTAAAGCCCAGAACAAGTTAGGATGTCACTCTCACCACTACTATTAAATATGGTACTGGAATAACTGGCCAGAGCAATAAGGCAAGAAAAGAAAATAAAAGGCATACAGATTGGAAAAGAAATATTTGCCGATGATATGATGATCTACTAGGAAATTCCCAGGAATCTACAAATAAACTCCTAAAACTAATAAGTGAGTTCAGCAAAGTCACAGGATACAAGATCAACACACAAAAATCAACTGTACTTTTTATACACAAACAGCATGCACATGGAAACTGAAATTAAAAGTACATTACCAACTATAATCACTCAAAAATAAGAAATAGGAGTAGAGCTAACAAAACATATGTAGGAATTATATATTGAAAACAAAAACAAAAAATGACTTATAAAAAGATATCAAAGGAGATCCAAATAAATGGAAAGGGGGGAGCCTGGGTGGTTCAGTTGTTAAGCGTCTGCCTTTGGCTCAGGTCGTGATCCCAGGGTCCTGGGATCAAGCCCCGCATCAGGCTCCCTCCTCGGCAGGAAGCCTGCTTCTCCCTCTCCCCCTGCTTGTGTTCCCTCTCTTGCTGTGTCTCTTTCTGTCAAATAAATAAATAAAATCTTTTTTTACAAAAAATGGAAAGGTATTTTCTATTCATGGATTAGAAGAACATAGTAAAGCTGTCAATTGCCCCCAAATTGATATAAAGATTTAATGCAATTTCTATCAAAATCTTTACAAGATGTTTTGTAGATATAGGCAAGGTTAAGCTAAACTCTATATGAAAAGACAAAGGAAGTAGAATAGCTAAACCTATTTTGACAAAAAGAATAAAGCAGGAAGAATCACTCCACCAAATGTCAAGACTTATTATTTAGCTATAGTTTGGTAACAGTGGAGAGACAGACACATGGATCAATGAAATAGGACAAAGACTTGAAAAATAGCCTCACACAAGTAGGGCCAACTGCTTTTTAAAAGAGGTGCCAGAGCAGTTCGATGGACAAGAAATAGTCTTTTCAACAAAGGGGATAGGAGCAGTTGAACATCCATAGACAAAAATATGAACCTTGACCTAAGCTTCACACCTTATACAAAAATTAACTCAAATTTCATCATAAATTTAAATGTAAAACATGGGGCGCCTGGGTGGCTCAGTCAGTTAAGCATCTGACTCTTGGTTTCGGCTCGTGTCATGATCTTAGGGTCCTGGGATCAAGCCCCACAATGGGCTCTGTGCTCACGGCTGGAAATTATCTCCCTCTCCCTAGGCTCCTCCAACTGCCTGCTCGCACACGTGCACTCTCTCTCTCTCTCTCTCTCTCTCAAATAAATAAATAAATACAATCTTTTTTAAAAATGTAAAACATAGGTTTTAGATAAAAATAAGAGGAGAAAATCTTCAGATTTCAGGCTTGGTGTAAATGGCTTCAGACAGGCCAGCAAAGCCTGATTCACAAAAAAAAAAAAGAAAAAAGAAAAAGAAAAAAAGATCCACAAATTGGAACCTCATCAAAATTAAAAACTTTTGCTCTGCCAGAGATCCTTTTAATAAGTTGAAAAAAGAAGCTACACTTGGGAGAAAATTTTTACAAAGACTTGACAAAGGACTCTAGAATAAAGAACTCTCAAAACTTGACTTAAAAAAAACAAACTATCCATTGAGAAAATGAACAAAACGTATGAAGAGCATTTTACTGAAAAGAATTTACAGCTGGTAAATAGCACATGACAAGACGCTGAACATCACTAGCCAGTGGGGAAATGCAAACTGAGACTGTGAAGAGACATCACTACACACTTATCATGACAGCTAACATTAGTGAGAAGCTGGCGAGGATGGGAAGAAACTGGAGCAGCACGTTTTGCCGGCAGGAAAATAAAATGGTAGAGCCACTCTTAAAATAGTTTGGCAGTATCTTTTAAAAATTTAAACATGCATTTATCATACAACCTAGCAAACTGCACTCCTGGACATTTATCCCAGAGAAATGAAAACTTATGTCCGTACAAAAAACTGTACACAAATATCCATAATAACTTAGTTTGTAATAGCCCCAAACTGGAAACAATGAAAACGACCCTCAGTGGGTTGAACAAATCTCGGTACATCCATACCATGGAATACCACACAACGGGATGAACTTGGGGAGGGGGTGGGAGGTGGGGGTAACGGGATGGGGATTAAGCATACACTTGTTGCGATGAGCCCCAGGTGATGTATAGAATTGCTGAATCACTGTATTGTACTGAACTGATATAACACTGTAGGTTAACTATAGTGGAATTAAAACAAAATGAAATAAAAACAAACAAATAAATAAATAAAATGGAACGAGCTATTAATAGAGTGAACAACCTCGAAAAATTTCAAGGGCATTATGCTGAGTTGAAAAAGCCAATCTGAAAACACTATATGATTCCACATAGATAACATGCTGAAACAAAATTATCGAGGCAGAAAACAGACTAGTGGAGGCCAGGGGGTTCGGGAAGGTCAGGGGGAGAGGGTGGGCATGATCGCGAAGGGCCAGCCTGAGGGAGACCTCTGTGGTGACGAACTCATCTGTGCCTTGGTTACACTGGTACCTATGTGGGTCTATCTATACAGGTGACAAAGTGACACAGAACTACAGACACCCACTGGACCAAGGCAAAATGCTTGCTTTCCTTACCCTACAGTTATGCAGCCACCCCCCACAGAACCACTGGGAAAACTGGGTGGAGGGTACAGTCTTCTGTACCCTTCTCTGTACTATCTTTGGGACCTCCCAGCAATCTGTGATCATTTAAAAATAAAAAGCTAAACATAAAATTTTTTAATTATAAAAATGAATTCATCTGTCATATTTTTATCAATGTTAAGGTGAAATGCACTCATGTCCTCACTATTGAAACAAAGAGGAATTCAGTCAAGGGCTTACAAGTGAGGTACATACCCCATGACTTCCTTGGCTTCTTGTTTGTATTTCACAGCATGACTGGGGGGGGGCAACGTGGAGCAGCACCCCAGGGCCCCATGTGTCCCCATCCTGGTCAACTTTCTCCTGTGAGACCCTCATTTGCCAGTGGCTAAAGCAGTTCTCATCCTCACCCCCCCTCACTTCATAAGACCCTGCAGCCTCAGCAAGACCTGCAGCTGGGCCCTGCCACCAATTTTCACCCATGTGGGGACAGGATTGCAGACAAGCCCACTGACCAATGGCCCACGGGGATGCTGGAGCCCACTGGCAGGGGGTTTGAGTGGGGACTGGTCTCTAAATGAACATATTTTGAGGACAGAACATTTCTGTGTCATGATTTCCCCTGCTCCCCAAAACCATGGAAAACAGGAATCAAGCAAGCATTGCCACTTCATCTGGGGACCAGAGCTGGGTGACAAGCTGCTCCCTGTCTCGGCTCTCCCCTCCATGCAAAGCTCTCAAGGCACAGGCAGCTCCTTCATTAGAAGCCTCCAGGCTCAAGATGTCCATTGACAGATGAATGGATAAAGAAGATGTGGTGTGTATATATATATACACACACACATACACACAATGGAATATTATGCAGCCATCAAAAGGAATGAAATCTTGCCATTTGCAACGATGTGGATGGAACTGGAGGGTTTTATGCTGAGCAAAATAAGTCAATCAGACCTCACTGATATGAGGAATTCATAATCTCAGGAAACAAACTGAGGGTTGCTGGGGTGGTGGGGGTTGGGAGGGATGGGGTGGCTGGGTGATAGACATCGGGGAGGGTATGTGCTATGGTGAGCGCTGTGAATTGTGTAAGACTGTTGAATCACAGATCTGTACCTCTGAAACAAATAATACATTATATGTTAAAAAAAAAAAAGAAGAAGATAGGAGGAGGGGAAGAATGAAGGGGGGAAAACCGGATGGGGAGACGAACCATGAGAGACTATGGACTCTGAGAAACAAACTGAGGGTTCTAGAGGGGAGGGGGGTGGGGGGATGGGTTAGCCTGGTGATGGGTATCAAGGAGGGCACGTAGTACATGGAGCAATACGCAAACAATGAATCATGGAACACTACATCAAAAACTAATGATGTAATGTATGGTGATTAACATAACATAATAAAAAAATAAAATAAAATAGTCAAAAAAAAAAAAAAAGAAGAAGTCTCCAGGCTCAGGCTGGGTTTAATGCCCTCCCTTCTCATCCAGCAGCCTGAAGCCGGAGGTCAAAGGTCAGGCAATGGTCTTCCAGTGTCCAAGTCTGCAGGAAACCCCACAGCACTTTTAACATTGGCTCAGAATGAGAAGTGCCATGAAGAAACAGAGGCCAGGCATGCCGGGGAAGAGGAGATTCCAGTCTGCTCGAAGGGCAAGACCAAGAGGGAGGGAGAGTTGGCACTTTCTGTGCCCACAGTAGGCAAGAGACAAATACCTACACTAGCACCTTCTGGAATCTGAAGCAGGCTCTGCTGGACTTCTTGGCTGGAGAGGGAAAGACCCATATAATTTTCCAATTCTGCCAGGCTTGGGTACAAAACTGACGGGAAGGGAACAGAAGGAAGAGGAAAGGTGTTACTCAGGGGCGTGAACTTGGCCACACCTGCCTGGCTCCTGTGGTCACTCATTTGTATTAAGAAACATGGCCTGGGGATGTTGTTTATCCCCGAGAATGCAAGGGAACACTCGCTGGTGATGTGGGTTCTCTCCTCAGAAGGGCTGAGGGGCAGGGGTCTCCCCAGGAGCAGCCTGGGACACAGGGGCTGCAGGGGCTACAGGAGGCAGGCATCTGACCCCAGGGCAGCTCCCAGGACACTGCAGGGAAGGAAGGACAGAGTGAGCCTGAGGTCAAGTTAGCTGCCACAGGACCTGAATCAACACTGCTACCAACAACTCAAGGGGCCACCACAAACAGCTTGGACTCCTCACTCAGCCACAGAAGGGAGCCCCAAATCAGGGGAGTTAATGCTCTCACTAAGCCACAGTTTCCTCGGGGTCCCCATCAAAGGGTCCTGGTGGGGATAAAATGTTCAGGAAGCCCACAGCACAGGGGCAGGTAAGAGGCTGTGCTGGAAGTGGCCACAAGAGGTCACTGTCAGTCAGGAGCGCCCCACCCTGTCGACTGGCTCACTCACCTGAAGACTGGGAGACTGGCAGGGCAGGCATTCTGGGTGCAGCTCTGGCCTGGGCCTGGGAGAGGTGAGGAGCACTGGTCAGCTGTGGCCAGGACCCCCAGAACCCTTGGAGCCTGGGGCTCCCTGGGGATCAGGGCATTAGTTACGCTGGCGGGCCTAAGGTAGGGGTATCCATGAACCTTGGAGGTGTGTAAAGGTGGCCTCTGCACACGTCCATGTTTCTGGGGAAGGTTCTCCCCATAGCCTGCAACCCACCAAACGTCATGACCCGCTTACTACCTGAGGCAGCCAGAACACTGAGGCCCACCTCCCAATGAAATTCTCAGTCAAGAAGTCCCAAATTCTCAAAACCCACTGGAACCACAGATGAATGGAAGGAAAAAGGGGTGTCTGGGGATGAGCAGGCCAAAGGCCATGCCCATGGGGTTTACTCTGGAAGCCTGTCTACAGTGGAGTCTACCTGAACTGGGAGAGAGGAAGTCCTAGGACGCACAGGAGAGGCCTGTCTGTTTGGGCTTTTCCATTCCTGCTGTAACTCCACTGCCTTAACCTCTGGACACCTGTCCACTAGCAGGTCCTGCAGTGGTGACCTGCATGCCCAGGGACCCAACACCCAGCATCTTCCAAGACAAGCCTCCCTTACTTACCCTGGGGCAATCACAAAGGCCCCTCGAGGTGGCCTAGGCTAACACATGCCTAGTGGCTTACCTGAATGGCTTGGTCCAACTTCAGGTCCTCCAGAGATGGGTACAGGGTGGACATGGCTGCTCCTTGGAACACCCTACAGGCACAGAGGGTGAGAAGGGGTGAGGGGTGAGAAGAAGCATGGATGTCTACCTCTTGTTCATGTGTGCCACTCAGGACTCTCAGGATGAGAAAGAAATCAGGAAGGTATCATCCCCATTTTGGAGATGGGGGGAGTGGAGTTTGAACCCAAGTTTGTTTTATTCCCAAGCCCATGATCTCCACCCTTGCAAAATTCTACCCCATCTGTTCAACTGACTCTGGGCTTTAGACCCCAGACCCCAGGGACCATCCAGGACATGCTGGCCAGGAAGAGCAGGACTAGGGATCAAGTCCTTCCCTGCCATGTTTCAAAGGTCAGACAGACTTATAAGGTTTGGTGACTCAAGACCCAAATTCAATCCAGCAGGTTCATAGTGAGTACCTGCTACATACCTGGCCTTTGTTAGGGGTGCATACAGCATCATCCCCCAACTACACAGAATTCAGTCCAGTGTTAAGTAGGTGGGGTCTTAATTACAACAGAAAGGCAGCAGGGCATTTAGAATCTCTCCCCTACCCCTCACACCCCTGTTCACCTCTGGGTGTTTGAGCTCCTACTGTATACCACCCATTTCCAGCCCTGATCTTAGCCTAGGCTTCCACTCTTCTCCTTGTAAAGTTCTGATCTTATTAAATGCAGTGTCTTAGGTTTTGCATTTAGGCCACTAGTTTGAATGTATGAATTAGGACCACCTAATACATTGCATTAGGCCACTAGTTTGAATGTAATTCTCCCAAGGTCAAATTAAACCTGTTTGCATCTGGCCTGTGAGCCACCAGTTCCAATCTCTGGAGGAATCAGAAGTCTGTGTGGGCCACTTTAGGGAATGTGGGCTAGATACTGAGAGCAGTGGGGAGCCACCAGGGGGCTCTAAGCAGGGGTAAGACATCCCAGGCTCAGGCAGAAAGGCTACTGCCTGCCATCTGGAGAACAAAAGAGGAGGCAAGAACCACTGGAGGATTTTGTGGCACCAGGGGAGGGGCCGGAAGATGATGGCGATCTGCCACAGCACGGGGGTTATGGGTGGGATGTGAGAGAGAAGGGATTTGATGGCAAGTTAGAAGGAATGGTGTGGGGGGGGGAGTGAAGGCAGCAGGTGCAGAGGAAGGAGAAGGAGCAATGATGGATGAAGATGACCTTGGCACCTGTGGGTCACTCAGGGGAGATGCCCAGAGGATCTGGACCTGGGCAGGACTGGAGTCCCATCACCCCTGGCACAGCCCATTCAGTTCTCTGTGACCACTCCAGACACCCCTTTATTGTGTATACCTGCTCTGATAGCCTCCCACCTTCCTAGGAAGGAAACAAGAACCAGAGGTCCCAAATGTATTTCATTCACCTCTCAGTCTTGTTTCTCGTTTTTTCAAATTTGAATTAGTGTCAACATTTTAAAGTCTGGGAATAAAAAAATTATTCTCTTCTAATTTTTATTTTAAAAAGTCAAAATATTTGGTAATGCAAGAGCAGGAGCCATGCACAGCGATACCCAGTCCAGGCTGAGCTGCAGCCAGCCTCTTAGATGAAGCCGCCTGTGCTTTCTTGGTTCCCAAAGTACCTGGCCAGCAATTTACATCCCCTGCTTGGCCCTGGAGGCAGGCAGCTCCAGATCCTTGCCCTAGTCTGGTCTTTGCGGCAGGAATGATCATCTCAAGAGGACAGAGATTGTCCCATGGGGGAGAGGAAGACTGGCTCTGACCTCCTGTAGACCAGCTTGGGGAATAAACCCCTTTGCCTGTGGCCTCCCCCACTGTGCACACACTCTGGGAGATTTTTCTCTTGGGACAGTCCTCAGCAGGTACCATTCGCCAAGAGCAAGCCCTGTTACCAGGACCACGCATGAAGAGCTTATGTGAAAACGAGAGGCCACCCCTGCCCTGCTTTTTCTACCACTGAAGCAACACAGCAGTTATATTTTTAGTGGCTTCCCTCTGGGAGAGCAGAACCAGAAATCCACTTCCTAGAAATCACTCCCAGGCCAGGACCACACACTTCCTCTGTATCTGGGACCTTCACCACCTCCACCTTCGGTGAGTCCCAACTCAGTTTCGGGCTCTGGGCAGAATGAGGAAGCAGGTATTCCCCTGCCTTTTAACATTTATGATCTAGTGGGGAATGGCTCCCAGCCAGCAAATAGGCCGTGCCTCATTCAATCACCTGTCTATCCACTCATAGCATTTGAGTATCTACTGTGCACCAGGGACCCTGGACCTATTTTAGTCATCCTGGGCCATCTGCTTGGCACACCACCTTTCCTGCGTGGTGCTCTTTGGAAGGTTTAGCTCAAAATCTATTTCTTGGGTTGCCTTTTTCAGGCCGTAGGACCCCCTGCTAGTTGGTTGGGTCTTCTTGTGTTCCTAACCCTGACTTGTGCTCTCTACTGTCAAGCTATTTACCGTATTATAGGATTGACATCTGGGTATTTTCTCATACTGGACCCCACCTCACAAGGGCAGGCAGGGGCTGTGTCCCGTTGACCACACACTACACCTCCCCACTACAACAGCAAACATGCACGGTGGCAAAAATTGTTATTTGAATAAAACAGTAGTTTTCCAAGAACAGACTGGAAATTTCCGCGGGCATTTTTGGGTGTCACAAGACTGAGGGGGACATTACTAACACTTAGGAAGCAGCGAACAGAGATCTGTACTTCTTGGAACACGCAGAATGTTCATCACAACAAACTGTCCTCCCAAAACTTCACGTGGGCATAAAGCCTGCTTGTAACCTGTTCCATATACAAATACAGTACTTCCTGGTTTTAATATGCAATATGTTATCCAAACATGCATATACCAGGTTAATCAAGGGAGGTTATACTTTGTTTTGTTCACCATTCTGGAAAATCAGTGTCAATCCTTCTCACCACAGGTGAGTCAGCAGAACGCGCCCATCTGTGCCTGCACTGTGGCTGTCGTACTAATTCCACACCTGTACACAAATACTTAGCCTTTGATTCGAGACGTCAAATACAAACTGTGGCAAAATTCAGTTGAATACCGTCTTCTCTTAAATCCAAACTTACTCAGTTTGAGTTAGGTACAAACACGATCTGGGTGTAATCCTGTTTCAGCTTTTGCAAAGTGAAGGGCATATTCTTCTACTATAAATTACTTTCATGGCCCGTGTTCCGCCTGTATAATAACGACAGGGCATCATGCTGGTTCACCACCCGGAACCACCGTTCGCGACGAACCCGCCTCCTCCCACAGCCTCAGTTTTCTCGCTTTGCGCAACCAGGCACAAAGTCCACGAATGCGGGGGCCGGGGAAAGCCCCACGGGCCGTAGAGCCTGTTCTTCACCCCCAGGACTCAGTTTCCCTTTCTGTCGCACCGCTCAAAAATCGCCAGCTACTCCCACTCCGACACACCCTTCGCTCGGAACCCGGCCGGAAGTGACGTCTCCCGGTTGCTCTGGGCTACAGCACCTGCGCAGAGTCCCCTCCAGGCCGCTAGGGCGCGCTGCGGCGTCTAAAACGCATGCGTCCCACCCACCCAGGCCTGCGCGCTGCTACGGATGGCTCCCAGGTTGCCGCGCGGCAGCAGGGTGAAACATGGCGGCCTCCTCGTCGGGCGGGTTCGTAGCTGGCTGGATTGCTAGAATCCACCCGGCCTCTCGCTTTCTCCAGGTGCCCATGGCTGGCGCCGCCACCCACAAAAAGAAGTCAGGTAAAGCAGCAGAGTAAGGGATGGGGAGGCTCGATCGGGCCCCTTGTCCCCTCTTTACTGGACTGGAGGCCGCGCGGAACAAATCGAGCTTTAAAGGGGCGAGTATCCCCCCACGCCCCTGACCCTACAGGACCATTTACGGCTTCCAGAGGAGGGAGGGTGCGGGTGATCCGCTCCCTGCGGGCTGATAAGATTCTGTTTCTAAGGCAGCTGTGGGAGGGGAGGAGGGTATAGACACGCCTGCGCTCCCCGCTGCCTGTGCCTGGAATAGAAGCCCCCTCGCCCGGTAAGGCTTCCGAAGCGCTTTCAGTTCCTACCCATTGTGACATCACTGACCCTCCCACTGGGTTTTGTTTTTGTTTTTGTTTTTGTTTTTGTTTTTTTTGCCCGGCCCCGACTTCTGACCAGGTGCTTAGCTGCAAGTGCCCCGCCCCCACTCTACGCAGATTCACCCTGGGATCCCACCCGAGAGTAGCTGAGTGATTGAGCCCCGCTACCCAGAGTAGGGGTTTTGTGCCTGGCCAGGCAGATCACTTCCCAAAGCAGAATTGGACCCACTGCTCCTTATGAGGGATTCAGGCAGTTTGGCTTACGGAGTGCAGGACAAAAGGCTACGGCGACCAGGAAAGCCTTCTGTAGGAAGGAAGGAAGAAAGAGAGTGGGTGTGGAATGTGCTACTACAGGGATAGGGAGGCCCAGACCCAAGAGTCCAGCTGTCTTCCAGATCTTTACTACCTCCCAGGTTATTCAAACTGAACTCCTTTTTTCCTAGCATTGCTGTCCCTCTACAGCTACCCTACCAAGTCCACCCCCTGGTCTGAGCCAGAAATCTGGGAGTTAACCTCAGCTCCTGCTCTTGAAGCCCTACCCAGCTCTTGCCCTCAGGATAAATCTCTAAACTTCAGCTTGGCGTTCAGATCTCCATGACCTGACTCCTGGCACCATCTGCAGTCACACCTTCTCACTTTTCCACACTCACCCTACATTTCATTCATTCCAGACTGCCTGCTGACACTAGAACTCACACTCCTAGTTCATGCCTCCCTGCCTTTTCAGGTGCCTGTCCCTCTGTCTTGAATGACATTCACGCCTTCTCCCTCCCCCTCGTTCATCTGGTGAACTCCTGTTCCCCCAATTCTTAGCTTTCCCCCAAATCCCCACACCCACACACACTCACAAAATTAGGCAGACCTCCCTTCTCTAGACCCCAGAACCTCATATTCACCTATTCATCCTTCATTCCACTAATGTTTATTACGCACTTCTTGTGAGCAAGGTCTTCTGCATTCCCTGGGATTGAATTTCCTCTGTGTTTTTATTTGCCTGTTTCCCTCCCCAGTGCTGAGCCCAGTGTCTGGCACAGGGCAGGAATCCAGTTACTCTTAAAGGAATGGGAAAGCAAGACACAGAGGGAAGAGAAAGCCCCAAAAAAGTCCTTTGAAGAGAAACTCTGGGCCTAGAAAGGGAGAAAAAAACCACTGCCCTAATGTGGTAGATTAAAAGGCTGCTTCCTACAATCTGACAATGAAAGAGTTCCCTCAGCTCAGTGCTGGCTTCCTGCAATTAATTGGCTCCTGTGAAAGGAAAATAACCCATCTCTCTCAAAGGAATTTTCCTTTCCCCTGCACTTCACAGAATTTCCATCTCTGAACCTCTGTATTTTTTTATAAAAGCAGTAACACCACCCACAGCAATCCAGCAGTCAGGTCCTTGGAGATCAGCAGGGCTGAAAGGGGTCATCAGCGCCCATCTTTGGGTTTTGGAATGAGAACACGCCTTTGGAACACCTTGTTCCAAAGAGCTGAAACTATGGGACTCCTCCTTGTTCCTATGGACAACTCATCCATCCTTCAGAAGACAGTGTGTGCGGGAGGGAAGCGTGGGTTAGAGTGTCAGAGGAATAGCTCCTGGAAGGCCAAATTAGCCCAGGGATGTGATGTGAGTTAGAAAGGAAGAGGCTGTTGCTAGGCCACCAGCATATACCCCCTTCTCTTCAGGGCTATACTGCCTGCTGGAGAAAAGCTGTGAACTTCTTTGGGGAATGCAGATGCTTCCGAATGCAGGCCCCTGAGAGGCAAAGCAGGAACAAGACGTGGTAGGCAGGCAGGACTGGGTTCAGACTGCTGCCTCTAATTTGTGAGAGCAAGCATGGACAAGTCCCTTTTGAGTGTCATCTCTTCCTTTGTGATATGGGTAACAGTACTTGCATCACAGAGTTATCATGAAGATTTAAAGATCCTTAAAAAGAGAGAAGATATGTATGGAGCTCACTTAGCACAGTACCTAGCACTTAAAGGGCATGCAGTCATCGTTAGCTGTTCATTCAGGACATTTACTGAGCACCTAAGCTGTTCTAGGTACTGAGGCAGTGAGCAAGAGGAAAGTCTGTCCTTGAGGGTGTCTTTCTAGCTGGTTAGAGAAGTGTGTTTGCTGTGTTAGGTGATGGGAAGTCATCGGGAGAAAGATAAAGCAGGATGAAGGGTAGAGTGTCAAGAGGTCCAGAAGGGCCTCACTGCGGGTCAGGAGTGACGAGTGGCTTGTGTAAAAGCCTAAAGGGGTAGGGAAGAGCATCAGGGCTGAGGGCATGGCCACTGCGGCAGCTCTGAGGTGGGGGTGCCTCTTGTTTAGAGACCATCTGGCCGATGAGACTGGAGTCTTGTTCAGAGGGGGAGCAGTGGTGAGGAGGTGGGAGAGGATGTGAGCGGGCCAGGTCCCCAGGGGTCCACAGCCAGCATTTGGCATTTACTCTGCCGAGATGGGAGCCACTGGAGAACGCTGAGCAGCAGAGTGACATGGCCCAACTTACATTTTAACAGCCCCTCCTCTTTGGCTAACATTGGGAGAACAGACCAGAGGGTCAAGGGTGGACACAGGGAGCCCCAGGGAGCAGTGATGGTGATGGTGGTGTGAGAATTGCTACTAGTTTGGAAATCGAAAATGTAAAACAGAAAAACTCTTTAAAAACAAAAACAATTGTTTTCGTTAGTTCGGGCCACCCTACGTAAGTAGCCAGTGCAGCGTCCTCCCCCGAGAGCAGCCTCGCCTGAAGCTCCATTTTCTGCGGTGTGCAGGGCACAGACTGTCCCCCTTGGTTCCATTAGCTCAGTCAGTGCTCCCGGGGATGCTTCCAGTGTCCACACGAGGAAACCGGTTCTGAGAGAGGTCAAGTCGCCGGCCGCGTTCCCCAGCAGATTTTTCCTCGCCTACTTAGGGTAGTGGGTAGAAACTGCTGCAGGCAGAGACGTAACAGAAACTGAAGCGTATACTCTCCGTTCCCTGTGGAAATCCACTCTGCTTGGCCTTCCAAAGGTCCCCTTCAAGGAGCAGGGTGTGGGCCGCATCTCCTGAGCGCTGCCACAGGAGGTTACAAGGAGCCTGCGGCCCCCATGATGTCTGGATAAAGATCACTCAGCCCTCAAACCTGACCCAGGGCAGGGGTCAGAGGAGACCCCCGTTCACACTATGCCCCCAGAGGGAGGCACCTTGAAAGAAAACTACCTGGGAGGCCCCAGAAGGGTCAGGACTGGCCAGACGGCAAAAGACCAAGCCTCACTAACCTCATTCTGGGTAATATGGGCCCCAGCTCTTACCTGCCGGCCAGGTGCTGCCGAGCGTCCTCTGCCAGTCACTGCCAAGAGAGTCTGGAAGCGGGTGGCCCAGGTTCCTGCTCTGGGAAGGGTGGTGCCTGCTCCCGTCAGCTGACTCACCCAGATGGACCTAGGTAAATGCCCTGTGAGTGTATAAACAAAGCAAGTCACCGGGCCCAGAGGAGGGCTTGGGCCTTAGTCAAGATGTGGAGGTGGGATTAGGGGCTCGCAGCTGCTGGTGAGAGGGGTAGGAACCAAGATTTCTTGACCTTGAGGATTTAGATTGGACATCCAGTCCTGCTGAACATGAGGACAGTTTGAGGGGCATCCAGGGTCTTAAAAAATGGCCATAACTGGGGCACCTGGGTGGCTCAGTCGGTTAAGCGTCTGCCTTCTGCTCAGGTCATGGTCCCAGGGTCCTGGGATCGAGCCCCACATCGGGCTTCCTGCTCGGCGGGAAGCCTGCTTCTCCCTCTCCCGCTCCCCCTGCTTGTGTTCCCTCTCTCGCTGTCTCTCTCTCTGTCAAATAAATAAAATCTTAAAAAAAAAAAAATGGCCATAACTTGTGGCCTAGCATTTCCCTTCTAGTAATTTATTATGGTAAACAAGTAGACATTGAAGTCCCAGAGCCCATAATAGGGAAATCTAGAAATCCCCAGTGCCCATCTCTGGGGTCTGGCTAAACAAATCCATATTTGTGGAAGATCACAAAACTATTAATGTCATTTAAGGAAAAATCACGAGGAAAGCTTCCCGAGACGTTGGCAAGATATTGAAAAATCAGGGCACCTGGGTGGCTCAGTCGTTAAGCGTCTGTCTTCAGCTCAGGTCATGATCCCAGGGGCCTGGGATCGAGCGCTGCATTGGGCTCCCTGCTCGGCGGGAAGCCTGCTTCTCCCTCTCCCTCTCCCCCTGCTTGTGTTCCCTCCCTTGTGCTGTCTCTGTCAAATAAAGAAATAAAACCTTAAAAAAAAAAAAAGATTGAGAAATCAATATTGTGATTCTGATCTTCTGTTTGGCTTTCATTTTTTGGAAAGTGGATATGTGTTGCAAACAGAATGAGAGGACATCTACTAAAGCGCTGGAAGTCTGGGGGCGCCTGGGTGGCTCTGTCAGCTAAGTATCCGACTTGAT